CTGCCCTGGATTAATGTAGCGGGGATAGCTACCTCGGAAACATCTTTCTCAAGCACTAAAGGCACATTTGTGTCTGTTCAGTTCTTCCTTTAAATCTCCAAAGGACTTATGGACAGATGGTGGTCTGGAAAATTCAATATTGTGTACTAATGGGCCAGTTTTGTCAGAGAAGTGCATTATTCATTTGGAATAGTAAGCAAACATTCCTGTAACCCTCCGTTGCGCCTTGAAGGAAGACAATTATTGTACAGGCCTTAATCTCTCGGGATCCGACTTAATTGTTCCAATCGAAATTTCAAACGCCTTGAGCTGAATCTGCTTGGTCCCGAACATGCGTTTGCATCGTTGAAAGTGATGCCATACTTTGAAACCACGTTCAGAAAGCAACATAAATTCCGTCGATTTCCAGTAGGGTCTTCCCTCGAACGGTGACTTTGTCTATGTGGGCAAATATATCGATCAAATCTTTTTTGAAGACTATTTCATCAATAACTCTTTGCATGTATTGCTATTTACTCCGCAAGTTATGCGAAATTATTGGTAAAGTTTATCATAAGCCTCAGAAGCCGTGTTACAGTCGTTCTTCAGCTTTGATGGGATTTGATAGTAAGCACCCTTTAATCCCAAAGTACGTGCTGAACTTTTCAAACTTGACGATCTTCGTTACCATCTCGTCCAGTTTAGTTAGACAATAAGCATCGAGACGTTTAAATCAGTTTGTATCTTGACTTTAATCTACGGATATGTGTCGTTTGTCTCTCGTTGCTAGTGACCAGTACCTGAGTTCTCCATGGTAAAAAGAATGGTTCGATGTTTTTTTCTAGGTAACGGATTATTCGGATTAATGAAAACATCTTCCTTGGGACTGTTTCATGTGGAATTTATCCTTGTGGGCTTGCACTCCAGTGCGTGGTAACAGAAATGGCATGAGGCTTCAACGTTAGTGAGACCGCAGACACGAAGGTCGATTTACTGCCACTGAAAGGAATCCCCAATTTCTCATGCAGTTGCGAGGAACCGTATTCGAGAAGGAGATCAGCATAGATTACGTAACAATTTGACTTTGTGGTGAATGTCTCCCTTATGTGTAACCATCACATTGCAATGCTCAACTGTACACTTTTGCGTTTCGGTTGCAGCCATGGATAGATGTATGCGTGCTAGACGGTTTAGTGTTTCAGTTCGCTTTTTGAGCAACAGCAACAGAAACGTAGTTTTCGGAATCGCCGGTATTAATCAGCGTTTCCAGCTCAGAACCATTAATCTGTATAAAGTGCTAACCCGCGTTAAGCAATCAGTAGCAACTACAATTGTTGATTGGGGATCAACGAAGTTGCCTCTTCTTGGGCGAGCTAGCTAGACAAACTCCTGAAGTGTCACTTCTGACAACTCGTGCAAATTGCTTACCTAGCCGAACATCGCTCATGAATGTTAAGTTAAACCGCAACGGTATGTATGACGATGGAGGAGATTTTGCAGTTTTTGGGAGGTGATTAAATTCCATTGGACACTGATGTGCATGCTGGGGAAATTAAGGCATTGGGTAAGACTCTGAGTGTTTGTGTGTCATTTCCCGGACCAATTAAAATTTAACGTACCATATCCCAGTAAGCGTCGTCGTCTACGAGGAGAAAGCATCTGTGATAGTGTCGCAGATCACACCATCGTGCTTTTGCTCCGCACTGAATGTCTTGAAGTTGTGGTCCTTAACAAAAACTTTGGTTCTCTGGGCGAATTAGTTCAGGTAAGGTCCGTTTTCTAGTCGGTGCGTAGCCAAAGTGGCGGGCAAATTGTTTCATTTTTGGGTTTGATATAAAGACATGTATAGTTTCGTTGAAGTTGATGTTATCAGAAGCATATTCGAAGACCGCTGGGGCAATTTATTTCATATTACTAATGAATAGGAGGATTTTAATTTTAATTTTTGATGTTTTCGTCCCAGCAGCTCACAAGCTACATAGCACAGTCTAGTCCGGAAAAGCACCAGACGCGTTTAAGCTGCTGGCTTTTAGCGGTCATGCGTTCGATCCCCAGTAGGAGGCCGAGGGAATGCGCACCACCAACGAGCCCCAAGATGGCGAAACGCGTCTGGTGCTTTTCAGGACTGGGCTTTGCTGTGTAGCTTGTGAGCTACTGGGACGAAAACATTCAAAATTCCGATTTATTTAACCGTGATTTTCCTTTTATCAGCATTGTGTGTTTCAAAACACTCAAGAAATTACAAAATGCATGGTATCAATGAATCCATTGTTTTTTTTTACATCCGGAGCGTTAAGATCATTTTCGAACCCTCCCTGTCTGAGAAAACCTTCCATGGATATTGATTCGCAGGCGAATTAATTTAGTGTAACGGAGCAGTCAGTGAAGAATCAGGACACTGGAATTCAAGTTTTACTCGTCGTGAGTATAGATGACAGCTAAAGGTGTAACGGACTGGAGAAATGTAGTGGCAGCACCAAATATGGGAGGAGGAATAATGCCACAATAATCTGACCGTCTCAGAGAATACTCAGCAGCGCCCTGTCTGCTGCATTGAGTAGCGTGGGCAGGAGTGACGGTGCCACTTGTACCATTTTTTATTCATACTCTTACGTTTTTTTATCTTACTCTTCCCTTGTTACCTTCACTCCTGTCTCTACTTATTTATAGCTCCTGCTCCTTGATCTTCTTGCATTTTGCGTCAATAGAAGTTTTTCTTCAACTGCCGACTCACATGCAATCGCAGAGCTTCGCTCTGGCCCTGTCCACATGTCCATACCCAATCAAGTGGAAAACTGCGGTTCATCTGCTTATATTTGGAGCCCACGATCCTTGCTAAGACGCAGATGCCTCAACGTGCGCACTTCTCTGCAGATTGGTCAACAGGTGGAACTTGCCCGAATACTTAATTTTTGTTACTTATCAGAAACTTACCTGCAGGACTGAAGCTCTGTGCTCACCCTACGCTCCCCTTCATGCGACACTTGTGGCTCTTTCTCCTTGTGCTTATCCAGAGGTAACGCAGCTTCATGTGCCGGTCCAGTTGAATTTAGCTTTGCTCTGGGTCGCCTGTCTAGAAGCTGCTCTGTTCGACTGTATCCCAGTCATAGTCCAGTGGGTCTTTCCAGGTTCGTAGCTCCGAAGGTTCGCGGGGACCAATAAATACCCGTTTGTCGTTGCTGCATACGCACTTACTTGGTGAAAGGTGACTTCTGTCATCAACTGTACGAGCTCCTTCTTCACAGCAGACGTACCGATACGTTAATATTTGACTGGTGTTCTGAACGCTCAAGTTGGAACACTGTTCACCATTGAGCTGCATCTGGGCAGCCAACACGATGTAGGCTCTCATAATGTTAATTGTGAGAAGTTGTTACACTTATGTGAAGATACTCGTTAGTATTTTTTCTCGCGAAGATTGTCTTACGACACATCAGCCGCAGGTGACATGACGCTCACCAGCCTCGGATCAGTCATAGGCGCAAATTGAGCACATTACGATCATTTACCACTGGAGAGTCTGCGTTTAAAACTGCCGTTTGATTTGGAGAACAAGCATGGACTCCGACCCTGCACTTGTGCGTGCTGATCTCCGAGTGCTGTCTGATGGGCATCCGTAACGACATGAGCGCATGGATACTGTCCCGTTGATGAAGTCAGATGTTCTGAATGCACACTAAGTACCCTGGCATCCGGGCTGAGTACGGGGCCACTGAACACATTTACTGGTCATTGGCCGCATGTTTACCAGACGCCATTGGCAACAGATATGTCTACGTGTAGGAACTTTAACTGCCAGCATAGGCAATGGGTATCTAAGCAGTCTTTGGAACTTAGAGATGCTCGTCTACATATTCCGGCTGGGAATGAAGACAACAGGACTCGCAAACATCTATGGGCAAATTTACGTGGTGATTTAAGGAGAAGCTACGAAGGTTGCTAGCTTTATCGTGCATTGGAGTTGAAAACTGCCGTCGATCTTGGTAACCATTGGAAGTTATTCCGTCTCCTACCGGAACCGGGCAGCAGGAAACCTGATGTTAGCGAGACTGTATGCGACGAGAGTGAACAGCCAATCCATAGCCTGTCAAAATTTTTGGAGCATTGGAATGAACACTTTGAACAGCAAATGACTCAGTCAGAACTACCAGACTCGATACCAGTCAGTGTTCACCTTGCTCCATGGGTGTTTTTCTTTGGATCCACTCTGCCACGCATACGTCGAACCTTAGATCAGAATATAGAAGTTGGATAAGGCTGCAAGACTAAATGGGTTCCCTTCGGATACTTTTAAAATTCGGAGAAATAGCTTCTGTGTACGATTTTCATGGTTTTAAGTGGAAGTATGGATGCAGGAAATTGTACCAGCCGGCAAGATCTGCTCTGTTGTAACCCAATGTTCAAAGGGACTTACGTTCGGAATGTGGCAACCATAGAGGCGTTAGTCTGATGTCCAATGTTTCTAAATCGTTTGCCCCTATATTTCTTCACAAGTTGACTGTCGCGCGCGATGGCCATATTCATAAAGGGCTGGCTATGTTTCGTCAAAGTTGTGGCTGCATTATCACATCTTTAGTTGTTGGAACACTGTCACCTATAATGACGATTGGCCGTAGTCATGTTCCTCGACATCGAAAGTGCTTTCAATCGGCTGCTATAATTTTTGTGGATTTTTCGTCAGATGGGTGCTATATTTAATGAGTTACCACCCGTCCTGAACACTGAATGCTGTTAGATAGACTCTATCAGCAGAATCATCAGCATCAAGTTGGTATTTGATGCTGACTCTTCGCTACCGCCCGCAGACTAGAGACAACTGAGCTCACCCGCAGCTACACAGACTCAAAGTGGGGTATCAATTGGGTCACAATGCAGACGCCTTATCTTTTCGTCCGATAATTTCTTGATTTTTGTGGCTACCACATTTTTTTCTTGCACACAGCGCACGTGCTGGTAATGTCTTTTCGAAATCGTTTCAAAACCCTGGCCTCGTCATTTTTTTAGTGCAATCGCCCACCTCGATGGAAAATTCACTCACAGAAATCACTGGAATGATTAATGGCCTGTCAATAAAGGGAGGTGATGTTGCGGAGTATGAGTGTTTGCTTTCTCTGCTAAATACTTTGGAAATCTCCGACATCAGACGGATTCTGCGAAAGTGCGACTTCATGAAACTATTTGCCGCAATGAATCTGCAAGAAGGGTGGGTTCATGGTCAGCCTTTGCATATATCTATTGATTAGAAAAGTTATGGATGTTGCTTTGAAATTGGCTAACAAACTATTCTCCGGTGTGCCTTTAGTTGAGCTTATTGCACAACATGAGCCAGAAGTAATGCAAGCATTGGAGGCAGAGAATCCCGAACTCACTATGTTCGTTCTGGAAAAAGTACGAAAGAATTCCTGATATTATTTCGATTAGCTAAAAGCCGGTATTTCGGGGACTTCAACCGCAGACTTCCTCACGGAGAACGTCCTGAGTGTGATTATTCGTCTGGCTGTGCATGATGATTTGCGCATCGCCAAATCAAGTGTTTCTTTCTTGTCAGATATAGGTATCTATCTCTTACAATTCGTGTCATCCCCAAACCAGCCACTGAAATCCCAGGCGGCATCCACAAAGTATTCGGTGCTTCATCAGTGGCACGCTTTGTTGCTGCTTGTAATAGATCGGAGTATGCACTTCGCATATCTGAGGTCAGCCTATTTGTAACCCTAACAGATTGATTATAGCTGGCCGCAGATGTTTCTGTGAAGGTCCCAAAGCATTTCGAGGTAATACGAAAGTCTGGAGTGCTGGACATCCTTCTTACTGGATTGCTTGAGCGAGATCCTCTCATCGTCTTAAATTTTATCGAAGTTACAAAAAAGATCCTCGTCCTCCCGGACGGTTATGACTGGATTCCCTCAGCGTTATTAAATGGAATGCTGTCACGTTTAGCGGGATGGAAAAATGATCCAACGGGACGCCTTATTTTACCTGGTAAGTTGTCACCTTGTGTACTCTGTGACGCTGGTTGTTAAAGTTTTGGTCTGTTACGTCTAGCGTGAGCAATTGCATTTGCATTATTAATCTTCTTTATTGCGGTGTGCAAAACTTAACTCCGTTATCCCAGTACATACTTAAACCCATGCTTTTTAACGGTACATTGGGGCCAACCTATATCCATTAGAAAGCTGACGTTGACACTTTAACTGGAACTGCAATTCAAATGGATTGGTCACTACTGCGGTTGCATCGGTTGAAGTTCGTTGGTCAGCTATAAAGGAGGTAGATTCCTTGTGCGCTCGGCTTGGGCTGTTGAACGAATCGCTCCACTGTCTCTACCGACGACCACGAGAAATACAAGAGGCAGCGAAATATCCGCAAAGTGCGAAGGCAAGCGAGCGCCGGCAGTTCGAAGTGGCTTGTAGTGAACGCGAAAACCGTCACAAATCGTTGAGCATTTGAAGCGACAACTGAAGGTTACAAGCGACCTACGAGTACTAGAAGTCTCGGCCGGACAGTCCCTGAGCGTGCGTCTGCGTTGGCGACGCGCTCCGTTCCGGTAGTTGCAATTGGCCCTACCTGGCTCTATAGCTTGAGGGCACTAGACTTCTTTTATTGTCAAGCCACGTACGTTGATTATTCGTGTCCTCTGGATGCCCGGTGACCGCGCTCTTCAGAATGTATTAAATGCTGTTTCTGCACCCATTTTGGTGAAACTGCTAAAGAAGGCATCTTCAGTACGCCCGTACGCAGTAGCGACACCTCGCTGCAACACAACCATCACCAGTCACGCGTGAACTAAGAACAATGCGAGCGTCGCCCTGTCGCCTACACAGGATCGAACCCATGACTTCCGGATTACAAGGCATGCGTGTTATCTTTCCGGTCATGGGCCTGTCGGGTGGCTATTCGGAAATTTTGTGTGAAGTCATGAAGAAATTGGCCATAAAACGTAGGCTGGTGTGTGCCTTCTTTGTGGATGGGGACCCTCAGGATAGATCACATCAGTAGTGTGAGACCTTGTTGGACTTGGCGCAGTCGCGAACTCATTGGCTCATTTGCATTTAGTTTCTTGCATCTAGCTCTTAACATCATCCCGATTAATATTACTTTTCTCTCAACTTTTCATTTTATCCTCTGCGTTCTATCGCACTTATCCTGCTGTTATTTATCGTTGTCCTAGCCATGACAACCATAGCTACCGCACTCCGGTGCCCGGATCATAGCTGTTTAAATGAATTGAACAATGATGCACCAAGCTCGCAGCATCTCATCCGCTGAGTATCAAGTTGTCCCCGGCCATCATATCGTCTGCCGCAATTTACCTGTTCAACAGGTCGCTATCTGAAGGTACATTGTAGAGCAAATTCCGATAGGTAGTGGACCTAGCCAAGTGGTCAACTAGCTGTCGATTTATCTGACACCTATTTTGGCCAAAGTAGCCGAAACGATTGCAGCTATTCGATTTAAAAGTCATCACGACTCCACACAGCACGATTTCATGAAAGGCAGTTCATACATCACATACTTGTCCATAACGAGACAGGTTGCACGCAGTGAATCAAAGAAAGTCTGCCTACGTTATCTACGCCAATTTCTGCAAGACTTTCGGCGGTGCTGAGAACTCACCACACCAGTATGTCATCGATATTTCTATTGGACGACGGTGTACCCCCAGACACAGTTCTGGGGCTCAGTTTGTCTGCCTTCACGATTACTTCAGCTTCTGCGGTCACCGCGTGCCTTATTTGCAGACGACCTGAAGACCTGGATACTAGGTAGCACTTTTGCCTACTTTAACAAGATATCGACGATCCTTGCATGTAAAGTGCAGAAGCCCGTCTCTCCTCAAGTCTGAGGAAGAGCGGCGATGACCAAACATGTCCCCGACTGCCAATCGCTCCAATCTACTCTGGGCGTACTCTCACGCTGCGATTTTAAAGCTGGAAAGCACGAATAGGCTATACTTTAAAGGACTGGGCATGCATTGGGCGCCCAGATGATGTCTCTGATTTTGGTCTGAAGAGATTACCACTCGTCCGTTTTTCCGTTATGAGATGAATTTTAAAGTAGGACGCTCCCGCTTACCCGACGTAACGTGTAAAAGATCGAATGCCTCTAGTGTATCACTACCAGGCTCATCCCCAGGGTTTATGGTGCTAGACGTTGGAACTGCGTACCCTGTCGGGTACAGTTCGACATTATCATAACCTACTGAGGCCGTTCCTCCAGTCACGCACCATGTAATACACGTGAGCTCAGGTACAAGCTTGCAGTACCAAAACGCAGCGAGCCGCTTAGTCTGTGCTTTGAGGGGCTGTTGATGTATGAAATAACCAACCAGAATACATAGTGGAGCCGAAGTCGGCGTCATGATTCAAAGCATCTGGATGCATATTTCGCGAACATTCGGCAGACGTTTTGTTGGTATCGACATGCGTTTACAATCTCACGCGAGAACATGAATAACAATTGACTTGTTTACGGATGACTAATTGTAGTTAGCGCTCTTGTTCGAATTTGAATGGAGGTATACAAAATTTGTTTCTTCTCTTTCCAACTCATTTTATGACGGAACATAGAATCGTATGGTGAGGATGAGTGATTGGGACACCGCAAAGTCCACCACTTCACTTTCACATGCTACGCAACGGCTATTTGCTGTGAATGGGCGTTACCGCTGGGAGGTGGCGTGACCTGAGAGAATGGCAATAAAAACGGACCCTTTTGCTGTTACTTCAATCGCTTCCTCTTCTTCCACTAGATGTGGCCGCTTAACACCCTATTAAAAAATAATAATGTGTTAGCTGTACGCCGTAACGGCGCGTCGCTGCCGCGTGACCACCACAAGTCGCGTGCGGACTGAGTATACCGCCGGGACGTCCACTCCTACGCGGATTCGAACCTTATGGTTGCAAACCAGGTGCGCAGACCATTCGGCTACCGGCCGACGCCCTATTGGTTCATCACGAACCAGATATCAGCAGTACGCCTGCATACCGTACCAGCCTTTCGCTGCCACGCAACCACCAACAGCCGCGTGTGGCCTGAGGATAATGTGAGTTCGCCTGCGGGTTCAAACCAGTGACTTCGGGATTACAAAACAAACGTGTACTCAGGAGGAAGCCATATGTACACTCTAGCAAAGTGTGATGCAATATCACCCGGATTCCGCGAAACACGTGACCCATGAGGCGTGGCATGTTTCTGCCTAACTCGAAAACACTAATTTGAGGAACGAATAATGCAACAGCGCTAGCCACCATTGTTTTAAGATTTGTGGCACAGTCCACTTTCGTGGAGAGAAGCCCGATGCTACATAATGTTGACCGTCGATTCGTTTACCTTGTTTCCATAGCTAACTTCGGTCAGCAAATCTTGTACATGCTCTCAAACGCCATTCGGAGGCATCCATTGCATATATCCCAAGTTACACGGTTAAACACAGAGTACTGCACATTTTCGCGTGAATGTCACTTTCAGAGCAGACAAATATTCGTCTGATATAGATCCAGTTACATGCAGGTTTCTTAGGCGCTCATGAACTGCCGTGCTGACGATCACAAGCGATAAAATCTACTGAACGCTGTACTTATACTTAACAAGTACAGTCTTTTCCTCCTATGTTCGACCTTCCTCCCCTATGCGGGTTTGAACATCTCTATAGTGTTCCAATTCGCGCATAGATACTTGCGGTGGCATACCAACAAAGCATCTGTAAAATGGACCGGTGCATTGTTAATATCTTGCTATTTGTATGCTACATTCACTATTGTATTTTTGATTCCTCATACTTTATATTCTTCATTGTTGGCCATGACTGGGCTGATCTCTTGAGGTGACGGATTACAGCTTCCAAACTAAAATACATTATACGCGTGCAAATCATACTGCTACTCACTCGCTGGCTTATAACAAAAAAGTGCCAAACTCTGTTGATCCGCATGACGGAACGAGCTGAGGCTTCATCGCCCATAACCTATGCATAAAACAGCCCTTATGAAAAAACATTTGATACCTAGCCAATGGCCAACTTACTACTTTGCCACACCGTCACGGAGCCAATTGGAGCATGGAGGTGTGGGTGAAACCCATCGTGGGAATACCCTGCATGGAAGCAGGTCCCCTGGTGACAGTTCCATGGATGGCCGTATCACTTTACTTGAACTTTCGGTTAAATCTCCATTTGTTATTGTTCCCAGTTTCTTTATCTCTAATACTTTCAAACTGCTAATCACTTCAAAAAAACCATATAGGAACCTTCATACAAAACATGTAAAATTAACTATATTATGCGATCACGATGTACAAGTGGATCAGACCACTCATTTGGTCTTGGCTTCGCACTGTCTAGGAATAAAACGTTTGTTTATTTACACATATTAAGCCCAGTTCTGGTTGCAATCTATGAGCCGTAACCTTAATGCAACGGCAAAACTGGACGAGGGTCGCAACAGCATTGTTCACACTGGTTACATGAATCAAATTGGTGGCTGGCCGGAGACCCATAAATGGCGATCGGAATAAGGTGGCTATGTGTATTTGGCGTCTCCGGAACATGTAGTTGTTATTTCAGTAACTTGTTACTCTAAAAGCCAAATTAATTGAATGCGTCACTCATAGCCACCTCATTTATAATGTGTTACATGTATGCATTATGGAATCGCGCCATTGTTCTACAACTACGTAGATTTCACACATCAGACCGTTCGTTCAAATCGTTTGTGTATTTTCTCTGCTTATTGTATCAGGCTTTTTTGCTTTTTTTGGATGTGTGGCAAGTCTAAATCCTCTTGAATGGTTGGCCGAGAGCGAGTTGAAGAAAGAAAATTCGTTTTTACGAACACTGAAAGACGCTGTTGAGGACAGTGACCCTAGTGTTGTCCTAGCTGCTGCTGAACCGATTTGTTCAGTTTGTCACAAGAAGCAGGGGAGAAGAGAACTGAAAAAGCACTTAAGTACGTTTGTATTTCTCCTGTCTTCCAGTTTGTATCAATTTACTGACACCTGAATGAGCATTCGCACACCCATCCCTTTAACAAGAGTTCGATGCAGGCGTGTTTGCACGTTTGTGGTTCTTGTGAAAAGAGTCTACTGGGTCATGCATCCGCAGACGAGTGCCCTGTACTGCCCGCGTCAAATTTCATAGGGGCTACCGTCAGCCATGTGCTGGCGATGCACCAGTGCAGCCTATTCGGCTTTCTCCAAGTGATAACTCGGACGTTCCTATCTGCTGACAGTCGGAAAAATTCCTCAAAGTTAAACAATATGTTGAAAGCACTTTTCGTTGTGGATAATCTTCTAACGTTAAGGAGGGCGCAGCACATTTGCTCAGAAAGAATGTCCCTGTGCTAGGAATGACGTAGCAGTTAGATAGGGCGAATACTTGGGCCTTTCGCGCACTTCATTTTACAGACTGGAAACCACGCCATAGTCGACCAACGGAAGAACGTGAGGCTTGACGAAACTTTGTACCGACTGTTACCCACTAAGGCGTGCTTATGAATGGCCACATTTTATCCGATCTTAGTACCGCGTTTACATTTTACGAGGTTACGATTCTGCCAATTTAGTACACAGGCGGTGCAAACACGATCGAATAGTTACGACATTAATTTTCGCTTTCTACTTTATATGATGCATTGAACCCACTCGTTTAGCAGCGTCGGGTACTCATTCTCAAAGCGAAAATACATCAGCAGTACGCCGGTACGCAGTACTGACGCTTCGCTGCCGCACAATCATCACCGGTCGCATGTGGGCTAAGGATACTGCGAGGGTCACCCTGCCCCTATGCAGGCTCGAACCCGCGCCGTCGGATTACAAGGTCGTTGCCTTTAGGTTACGGGCCGGTCTCAAAGCGAAATGTGTTCGATGGATCAATTGGACTGCGTTTTATCGTGAGCGTACAAAAACTGTTATAAACGCCGCTCACCCGTACAACGGCTAAACTGATGCACCATTTTGCATTGCTCCAAGAGTTTCTTGCTGGTAGCTGGGCGAGAGGTGGAGTGCATTCATTTGTATTGTCGAACATCAGTTTTATCGGTGGCAAACCACATTTTTGTAAACACAGGTTGTTTTTCGTTACGAGTGCAAATACAATTGTAGATGAAGTAAGCCATTCCTGTTATTCATACGAGAAAAAATATGATTACTCTTTTCTGATATCTTCTCCACTCGTTCACCTCGGAGTCCCGATTCCGCCTGATGCCTTTATTGTGCATGAAGATACATCGCACTTATGAAGCACGGTATATACACAGGCTTAGCATCCACTCACAGAAACGCGTCACTTATTGTAATTCTTGAGTAAGTTCTTGGCGATAAAACAGCATCTTGCATTGTGACCTATCAGAAGCGGGAGCTCCTTCGTCCGAAGAATTAATGTTTGGTAGTAAATCATCTATTTGATAGGAAGGCCTCGAAATGTGTTTAGCTGCATTTTGTCTTTCATATCACATTGCGCATATGTATCTCGGACGGTTACCCTGACGTCTACAAGTCGCCCAAACCTGCAAGGCGCAACACGACTTATCATGACGGACTTTGAATTCACAGATCCTGATTTAGACATTTCAGAGGTTCACGACACGTTGCGAATCCCCGGCCAATTTTTCAGCTACGTGCAAACGTTTCTACTGTCCTCAGCGATCCCAAATTCTGCTCTTCCCTTCAAAGATGTCAAAAAAGTGTCGATTCCATTCGTACCCAGATGGTTACCACTTTGTGTTTATGCGCACCACAACCGTGACAGTGCATTGATGCCACTGTCCAAAGTTGACACGGGCACTCGCCACATTGAAGCTTGTGACAACTTATTGAGGCATGTTACAAGAAACTGCTTAGGGGGAATGCGGTTAGCTGGTGCAAATACAGCGAGGACAAGCAATACTAGGGTAGCTGATCTGTATATGTTGAGGTAATACTAGCGAAGACTGGTGTAAATCCGTTCCGAAATTCGGAGTACTCAAAAACCGCTAAACTGTCACCCATTGGTATGCAACTCGGGATTTCTGAGCGGTTTCCCAAGAACATGTATATAACTCCAGACTGCGCACTGTTCGAGCTGCAAAAGTTTGCGGATCACTTTGCTTTGAAGTTATAAGCATAGTGTTCGATCTGTGTTCTCACAGACGACTTCAACAGGACTGACACTGATTTCATCACCACCATTGGCTTAGCCAGTTTGATGTGATTCCCCACCAGACTCGATGCGCGTCTAGATTTAGTCTTAAATAACAATCAATCAATCAACAACAGCAGCAGTACATCAGCCACTTGAACTGATGCTTTGCTGCCATACAACCATGTCGACCTATGGAATAAAGAATAACAAGGGGGAGTGAAGGGGGACTTATTTGAAAATCGTAATGCCCTAAGCCAACATTCAGGTTCAAGGCGCCTACACCTTTGTTAACAACATACCGTCACAAACGACTGGCTATCGTGCAAAAATAAGGAGGCATCGGCGAGACAGCTTCCTTGCGGCTTTCACTGCCCCGCGTCATACTCAGTCATTACCCCGTAGCTAACTCAGCACCAAACACACGTTAAACAGGCAGTCCGACTAGGAGACGGCAGAAGATGCACCACTAGTATCGACTGCGAGCCATGTCTTGCCAATCTCCGCCACCTGTGGCGCAGACGCGACATTACTCTCGCCCTCAAGGGCAGAGTTTACAAGGCAGCCGTCCGTTCAACTCTCCTATATGGCTGTGAAACCTGGCCCATCAGGTCGACAGACATGAAGAGACTCGTCACGTTCGATCATCGCTGCCTTCGCAGCTTAGCTCATGTCTGGTGGGAACACCGCGTGAGCAATGAGCGTGTTCGGCGTCGCGTATTTGGTGCAGGAAGAGCGAGTGAACCGCTCAGCACCATTATATCACGCACCAGGCTCCGATGGCTGGGCCACGTGTTGCGCATGCCAGCACACCGACTCCCACGACGTGCATTGTTTGCGCGTTGTGGGTGCGGTTGGAAGAGGAGGAGGGGAGGCCAAGTGATGACTTGGTCGAGAGAAATGAAAACCCTCACTTCGAAGTTGGCGTCGGTTGGTGCATCCCGACTGCCTGGTTGGGGTCCTAAGGACGGTGAACACGTTTGGTTGGACACACTTGCTGATATGGCTAGGAGCCGGCCCCAATGGCGTTTGTGTTGTGAGTTCCTTTGTCCATCCCCCTCCTGTTTAGCATCCCCCTCCAATCACGATCTCAATCGTTAGGCATAATATGACTTTCTTTTACGGCAGCCAGCTGTTAGCTCTCCGGAACGATGTCCATCCGTTACTGGGGACTCAGCGGGCGTGCCATTGTTTGTTTGTTTGTTTTTTCATCTTCTTTTCTTACCTTTTGTATTGCGGCACAATAGCTGAGGTGTTTTCCACCTCCAGATAACGTGTAATTATGATGATGATGATGTCTTGTAAAGTCTCGAGCCAAGCACAAGGCGATTCACGTGGACTCCAGCCTGGAAGGCGAGACGCCACCCATCTTGTTTTCAACACAAAGGTGCGCAGCCTTGATAATCCCGATAGTTGCGCAATAAGAATGTGTCCTAAATTATGCAGTAAAGACAACTGTGTTGCGCTGACAAAAAGAACATTCAGAACTGTTAAACGGCGTGACTGTTCAGCAGATAACATCGAAAAGCGCAAACAATCTGTTCAAATGATTTTTCAATTTTCACGAATGAAGACTTATCAGTTCAATGCAAGCACCTCACAGATTATGTAAACTTTGTTTTGATCTGTGTTGTCCCGCCAAAACAATCAATTTGCGAAATGACAGTTGTGGAGGAAAAAGGAACAAGCTTATGAATATAAGATGACTAACTTTGTTGGCGTTAGCCGTCTGTCTGTGGACATAAAAGCTGAAGTAAGAAGGTTAAACAGTCTGTACATCCAGACCGATTTAGGCAACCGCAGTTGCCGTGACTTGTGGAGACTTCTAGGACAACTCTCTGGAAAGCATTCCCGCAGGATATCCAGCACCGAGTATGTAGACAAACTCAACGCAGAGTTCAGCTCCTCATCACCTAACACACCCCTACCTTCCATCACCATCATAAAGCCTCCCACTTTATTTGACTCCACAAGTGTTTACAAAGAGCTCACGAGACCAAACAAAGCCAATGGATCGGATGCTCTATTAGCAGTCGTTCCATAAGAAGGTGCGGATGTTTTAAAGACGTCTGACGGAGATCTTGTCTCAGTGCTTAATGACCGGTACAATCCTCGACATAGAAATCGGCCAGAATAATACCAGTGCCTAAAATTGGGCCTGAGAAATGTCGGCCAACTGCGTGCACATCCGTGCTATCAAAGGTACTGGAAAAAGTACTGATCCATATTTTCATAGGTGATCATGTTGAGGTTGTCAAACAGTTTACTTATTAACCGGCGTTACGTATCTGGCGCATTCCATTGCGTTAGCAAGGCCATACGGCTCCTATTTCTCGATTATGCTAACTCCTTTGGGATCCGCCACAGACCGTTACTGTTCGAAATTTTGTCCGAATATGGCGTCACAAATCGTACTTCACGAAGTTATGCGACAGGAAATCCTCTGTACTTCCAGCCAACCGTGGTGTTTCGCAAGGAGCCGTCCTATTCCCTTTTCTATTTTAAGCCTACATCGAAGTCTCCCTATTCCATCAAAGTTCATAGGCAGTAAATATGCAGATGGCGTCCTAGATTGCATAACCCCAATCATGGAGGACTCGTTGAAACACCAACGAGGGTTAGATGAACTAGTGACTTTGTCGAGCTCCCGGTCCCTCTGTCTCAACCATTCCAAATGTGACGTAACGTACTGTTTTCTACATTTCAACAGACTACGATCCCTTGTACATGTCTCCCCTCCCATGGATGATCCGAGCACACCTCGTTTTCTTACTTCACATTTAGATTAGTGTACACGTATTCTTGAGATTTTTAACATGTTACGCTCTCAGGCTCAAAATACTTTTCGTTCCCCGTGCTTTGATTAAGGTTGGCAACTGCATGTATTCTCCCTCATTGTTTCCCTGTTATTTCCCACGAAATACCTCAAAAAGATGATGCTCTTGTCCGTTCGCTAAAATTTATTTCTCGTTGCTCCGGATTAAGGAAAGAACTGGTCGCAAACATTTCGATGCATGCATCAACTTCATCCAGGATTTTATACGACTCCTCTCACTCTTTGCATACTATCCCACCGAGTACTTTTTCCACACGGTCGAAATTTAAAGTATTATATTTCCGTACGTCGTCGAATCGAAATTCCAGCCTGCCTTATCGATCACGTCTACTAGTCGACCGATCAGGAGTGAAACACAGCTCGCGTGACGCACCTTTTTGTTTTACTGCTGTCAAATTTTATTTTATCATTGATACTTTGTTGTATTATGTTCCGCGGTGTTAATGTGAAGTGCTGAAAACGCACCCATAAGGGTGGATAAAGGTTATTTTGATATCCTATTATTATTATTATTTTTGTATTCGTCCAGTCCCTTCAGGTGCTCTGTTTCCGCTTATTGTCAGGCTGGGTCACTTTCTGAGGGAGTCACCTACGACAGTCATTCTGCCGGCTGTTGCATATGTGAGTCAGCTCATTCGACAGCCAGATGATATCACCAACGCTTTGGAGGGTATAGAGCAAACTCGCATTGCTTTGGAATGGACTGCCTACGTGGCTCGAATGGGTGAAGTTCCGAGTGACAGGACACTGGATATAGGTGAACAGCTGCTATCTGTAGGAAAACTACTCAAGCGATTGATGACATTAGCCGCGAATCCATTCATAGACGTACGCTTGGCAGCTCTGCAAGCACTGGGCTCTATGTCTTCACAGGTACGTCATTAACTTGTACCCATATGATGTATATTGTGCTGATCTTCGAATTACTTCACGAACTAGTGGCAGTTTCAGTTAACAACAATGCAATGAATATAGCCGAAAAGACATTTACAAAATAGACATGGGTCCCAAGTTCACACACAGGAAAACTGCTAGTTGTTTTCTGTTTCATCTACATGCTTGTGTTATGGCGACATGAGCGTGATAATTCACCACTTACAACGGAGACGGTTGCGTTCTTAGCACAACAAACAGCATTAAGATACTCTAAGTAAGTCAGAAATAGGGGCCACAAATATGACCGTGTGATTGCTGCGCTAGCTTTTGTTGCCAGCCTGAGGAGGTGCATGATGGTAAGCGAAAACGCGCAGTTAAGTAACAACTGTATACAGGTACTTTAACTTATAGCTACGCCACCGCACAACCGCAAATGGTTGCACGCGGGTGCTATCAGGTCGCTCAAAGCTAGGCAGGAGCGGGGAACCGAGGCCGGAGCGTGGACGTTGTAAGTCAGGTACTCCATCGAGCACATCTTTGCCATTTGCGAGGTACCCCATTTCTAATGTGTCAACAAGGCGCGCATGCTTTTCGGTAGCCGCAGCATTTATCGAGTAATTACGCTAATTGACAGTAGGCTATACCGACCATTGGCCTAGTTGTTCAGACGCTCCGGTCAACAAATCAACCTTCTGTAAGTGCAAGCGACTTCACATGCCTGCATTCAATCGCAGTTGCTTTGTGGTATCGAAGCGTCAACATAAGGTACCCCATACTGCTAACGCTCCTTTTTCTACTCTTTTTATTAGATTGTGCTGTGCATATATGCTTTTCTGTACAACTTTTCACAGCCTTGGGGAGTACGCGTTTTCGTCGATCAACCAGGTTTCATGAAGTATCTACTGGACCGGAAGACAGAAGCCGGGCTCGCTAAAACAGCAGTGTTGATGCAGATGAAATACGAAATCGTCCAAGGAATTTTGTGCACAATGGAACAATACACTGGATATGACACTACGGACTTCTCGGTGCTTTTGAGTCCGGAGCAGATGTTGTGCCTGAAGCTGTACATAAAAGAAGGCATCTGGGGAATTCAGTCGTCCGATGCTGCTGTGGCTATGGAGCCTGGTTAATAAATCCTTTTCCGAAACTCTGTTGTTATACCTTGTGAATTGTTTCCACAGTGACCTTTTGAAGTGGAGTGTAATCCATGCTAACTTTGGGCGTGCGTTAAAACATGAATCTGAGTATAAAGATGCCACCTGAAGCCAAACCGGCAGACAAATAGGACGGACAATCATCCTAACAACCTCACAAAACAGCTGTTTTACCCTTACTAAATAAGTATGGGTGAGCCAGCAGCACGGATTAATAAGTTCGTTTTGGTGAGCACTTGATTAAACCATCGACTTATCGAAGATCTACGGTCCCATGAGGTTATGGAGAAAACAGTGCAATGACTCGTAGGGTACATTTATACAGAGACCTGTCATCTGAACCATCAATTTGATCCAGGATTAATTTTTCTTTTCTTTGAACTAGGTGCGCATGTTTCGTCCTCGTTCTCTTTTTTCGCTACGAACTGGCGTTTCTTGCTTTCGACTCTTGAAGTCCCCTTCGGTTTCTTTTTCGTCTTCTTTGTTCCGGTCTTCTTCCTATGAGGCACGCTCACTACATTATTTACTGTTGAATTCACGGTTCCGTTGCTCGTTGTCTTCAATCTCTCTGCGGCTTCTGTGTCCTCCGCCTTAATGCGCTTATCTCGACAGGCTTCTTTCTTCCGACGTTTTCTTTCCGCCTTCGACAATCCAGTGTTCTGCCTGATACCCACAAGAACAAGTAGAATAGTTGTAAGTGGGTTGTTACTACATGTAAATATGGTTCTATCACAGGAACCCTGATCTGTGTTGGCGCAATTACAAGTTTATAGTTTAGTAAAAAAAATTAGCATATTTTACGCTGTATTGGTAATGTCTATTACATAGGGGTTTATATGTCCCATGTACCGTATCATATTTAGTGTAAAGTGAAACAGAGTAAACACTGCTTACAGGATATTCGTAAAACAATCATCACCAAGCACTCGTTACACGCTTGGTCACAGATACAACAGCCGCCATTAACGCCGATAACGCCACTACTGCTAACCACAGTTGTTTTTTAGTGGTAGTGTGGGAGAGGAATACAAATGCTGGTGCTTACCCTGTTTCGTGCATTGTTGTAAGCAGAAAGTTGGCGAACTTCCTTAGTACTCTCCGGATCGGTTTGGGCAAGGGCAGCTGACACAAATTCTGCGGAACTGAAGGATCAATGACCTGAAACGCAAATTACAGCAGTAAAGATAGCTATAATCTTACGTGTTCGGGGCTGTTAATGTGCAACGGCGTGAAGATGGAGTTCATAACTTTACTCACCGGCACAGATCCAATTTTTTTAGCGGCTTTAACCAACTGAGTAATTGCTGTGAGAAAGGCGGTCGTCAAAGCAACTGAGTTCAGCCATTCGATAGAGCCTGGATTTTCTAAGCTGGTATTGTTTAATTTGGTTAGCACTTCAAACAACAGTTCGTCATGGAAGCGGATTAGTGCTCCTGATGAGGTGTCGCCTTTGACTAAGGTACCACATATTGCCGCCACGGATTCACAGCGTTGGATATAGGTGTAGTGAATGGCGCTTTTTGTTGAGCTACTGCCGTTGAGCTTTGCGTCGTCTCGCGAATTGGGCTCCATGATTTGGAGGAAGGATTTCGCCAATAAGGGTGCAATGTAGTTCGAAAAACTCTGACAGTATAAGGCAAAAGTACATTAAATGCACATGTATACCAATACGATCACAGAGTTAAAGACTGTTATTACCCGGTCAACTGAGGCAGACGAATGCCAATAGAAAAATAGACTCAATCCAATCGTCCCCACTAACATACAAGTTGCGTTGCGAATTATGAATGAGGCAAGTCCAATTAAACGAGGTATGACACAAACCAACTAGATTGTCAACGAATGATGTGACCGGCATGAGTGGTTGTCAAATCCAAGTAATATTCCAGTCACCACACAAGGTTCCGATTGGTCACACTAGGGCGCTCAACAGATACAAGAGGTCCGAATCAAAAGCAGGTGTTGCGTCGATAGATCAAGATGGACCAGATAAACCTAGCGCGGGCATTTAAACGCCGTTACTGTTTTCACAGAAGTATCTTTCCTACGCTATACGGTAAAACTTCCGAAGTTAGCCACCACTATGTTAGTCGTTTTTTCTCATTGCTTGAACGTTCACTACATAGTTCATGGATCCAGACCGCTGTAGGTTGACCACTTTGACCCGGCCCCCTGAGTGTTCAATTTACGGAAGTCTTATTGTACTTATTTTGCAGGGGTATTTTGATGAAATCTTTCTGAAGTTACTGATACGGTTTTGCTCCGCAGATTCTTTGAGAGAAAAATGCCTTGAGATATTGCGCACATTTCACGATTTGTTACTGCCTGGAAGATGGAACTAATTATCGAGAAATGCTCCAGTAAATACTTGTCGCAGAAACCGGATAAAATTCGTGATAATTCTCCCCAACAATATGCGATTGCTGTTTAAAGATGCGACTGCTTGGTCGAAAACATCTACGCATCCTTTTCCCACTTTGTTTTTACATTTGGAAAATCGCGCATATTAAATGAGACTGTTTTAGTTCATTTGCACTTGAAGGTATAAAATACTGAAAATGCACCCATCCGGGTACATAAAATTTACTTTGACGTGAAAACGCTTATTTGATTCAAAATAGATGATAAAGGAAGAAATCCAGCGTTGAAAAGTGTAATGAACCCTACATACAATTTAGGTGAAAATCAGAAATGCTCTCAGAGTACGATATCTGTCTACGCGAATCTACAATTATCGTCAGGTCACTTACATGTAAAAATAAGCTTCATCGATCAAAAGTCGTGAGTGGCTGCACCAATATCCAGTTTTGCCACGGTGTGACTGCGACCAAGTTGCAAGACGCCCACAGACTAATCGTGGGTGGTTGGTGTTGCACCACCCGCAACATTACACCTAGTGTAAACTCGAAGCATAGTGTGCAGACGGGAACCATGATTGTTTCCGTTGATCCACCACAGATGTTGCATTTAAAAGGGATACGTATCAGAAGTAGACAAAGCGGCGACTGGGCCGGTTAGAAATAGGGTTAGATTTTTCTTACCCTTGATTCGAAGTGTTTTACGAGAACGTTCTCATAAAACACAACTTTTTGACAACAATTGTACCTTCCATAATTTTTCTTTTTTTGCTGGCCCCATATCTGTCTGTAGCATATATATGTGCCACATGCTGATGCTGATGTTGCATACATCATGCTTCTTCACCACAGTGGGACTAGCTAGACCTTAACCAGGATAAAAGTATTGGGAGAAGGAATACCGAAATACTTCCACAAAAAGTATTCCACTTTGTTGAATTTGCTCAGTTCTGTTATTCTGCTGCATATTCCGTGTCAATTTTGTGTGTTTGTTTTCCTTCAAATTCGATGTTGGTTATTCCATATCCCCGGTGTGGATGCGCTTAATGCGCATGTTGACAAGGTGTCTATCTGTCTAACACCCTCAACCTCGATTACAAGTTTCAGTAAACTGTAGAATGTTGCTGGGAGGACAGGATGCACGGTACTCGTGACCGTCGTTCCATCCAGAGTGGAGCGGACTACGGGCCAGCCACCACCTTTTGTACGTCTGGTACGTATGATACCCAAAAATTAGGTAGACGGGAGTGCTGCTGCTGTGCATATTGAAGGAGTGTTGGTTAGCTCTGTTAATGTATCTTGGCTCCCATCCACATGCCTTCCGGTCTTATTCCTTCAGGTTTACCCTGGAAGTGGGAGTGTGTGGATGGAGCTGTGAGTGGGTGGAGCGCAAGCCACCCATGGTCCCTCTGTATGCGCAGGTGTCCTGTGACTGTCCTAAGGAGGCCGCAGTGACGGATAAATCCGTAATCGGATGCCTCCATATATATATATATATATATATATATATATATATATATATATATATATATATATATATATATATATATATATATATATATATATATATATATATATATATATATATATATATATATATATATATACATACATATATTAGAGATAGAGGTTAGCCACAATGCAGACATACAAAAAACCGATTTGTATCTAAAGCCAGTCGAAATCATGAGCTTCCCCATCAGTTCCACGCATGTACCGAGTTATACTAGTCGAATTGCTTTCGATTCGTGTGTTTCACGTAATTTGGCTATTTTAGTAAAACAGCCAAGACAAAAAGTACTTTGCGACTGTGTTCCCGAGGCTGAGTCGCTCGGTTGCTGCTGGATTCAGCGACCGACATGATCAACTCCCGTCACCTCTGAACCTTACACCATGACTATACTCAGTATCGTAACATCATAGTGTTTTACTGAATCATATGGGCATGAAGCGCAAAGGATCTGTAGTCATCAGACGAATAGCAGAACAGCATTAGTCGTAGTCATGTGAATGTGGTTGTTCCTTGTTGTCAACTGCAGTTTCGGCTGTCACAGTGCATCCAACAATTGAGTTGGGTACCTGCAATTTTGCGCATGCAAGATGATACAAATTACGCTTCTATTTGGAACAGCTAAAGTTGCTCGGAGCGAGACCATTGGTCCTATTAGATTAAACATTTTTCAAATCCGACTTAGTGGCATTAAACACCAGTAAACACAAACTACGGCAAAATTCGCAATCAACTCATCGAGATTGGTGGCCATCATTATGATTCTCGTAATTACCGCTTTTCGATGCCATAGTGGGATTACTGGGTGGATGTAAGGGTGAGGTGTCAGCGGTTTGAACACGTTTTTATATCGACTGGAAATTTGTGTTGACCTTAAGACGCAGTGACGAAGAGGATGCGGTAGACCACAGAAACCGGTAGTTAAAGCCAACCAAGACTGACAGTAAAAACGAGTTAAATGTTCAAAGAAACTCACCGGACAGCTTTTCAACAATGAAAGGAGGACAGTCCTATGAGTCTTGCATTTACGAGCTGACGAGATAAAAACGGAAAATTCCCGCACCAAAGGTTGCAACAGCGTTTCACTCAGATCTGGATGAGCCGTTGCAACTGAATCGGCTAATTGAAACTGAAGAAAAAACAGACATGATTGCGCATTTCGGAGTACATATAAATGTAACACCAGAAGTTAAACGGAAGAATTGTAGTCGAAACAATAAAAAGGATTAGGTAGACCGAGTATTTTTTAGTAATAAATCCTATGTGGAGGTACACGGGTCGCTAACAGTACAATTATCCACATGCTCCCACTCACCAGAAACTGTGTGATGGCTGTCAGCATTGTAACCAATTGCGGTGGGGGGTGCGCTGAAAATTTTGAAGAAACCGGAATTAGGAAACGCGATACATACTGCAGCATAAATTGTCTAAGCGCAAATTAGAGTCAGATGAAAGCCTCAAATACCTAGAACAGGTGCATTTCAAAGAGCGGCGTACAAGAAGGTTTAGATATAGTGGACGGTGCCGTGACAAAGTCTCGAACACAGCGTGATCACCGCTCCTAGGTATGTCCCATAATAGTAACAAAAATAGTAAAGACCAGAGAACAAGGAACAGAAGCACATTAGTGAATTCAAAGTGTGAAGCAAAAAAAACCACTCGTTTGATGAGGGTAGTTGAGGGTCAGACATGAAAGCAAATGCAACAACGCTCTATAACTGTGCCACATTCAATAGGGGTCCTAACGATTAATTTCGCTGGTCTCGAGACCATCAAAAACATGCACTTGCCAGATTATTCATCCTGCTGCGCAATTCAGGGTTTCACCCAACGGGTTACTAATTAATGATGCAGCGGCTCGATAGGAATAAGTACTTGTTAACCGATGTAGTTTAACACGACACCACCACCAAAGAATCTGGGCCTGACCTCAATTAAGGATCCAACTGACGAGCAATTAAGTACGGAGTTATATACTCCGCTGAGCGCATGAGATAGTGAAAGACCGTATTATGAATTCATGCAAATACTCTGGATGGTCGTTTACTATATGCAACTGACTGTGACATGACTAAGTGGAGCAGTTTTTCATTCGTGGTGTGTGCGTGTGTGTGTTGAAAATTGTGACTGAAGGTTTAAGGACCGCGGCACAAGGGAAAAGACCAATCGTGCTCTTCAGTGCAACAAGTGTCAACCTTGAAACGACCTGAGTCGATTTTCGGACTCTAATGAGCGGTCTGCTCGAGCATTTATGTCAAAATCAAGGCGCAGTACGGATGACAGATGAGGATTGACGATAGAATTGGTGTATGGGGGCGGTTGCCACGGAAACAACAAAAAGCACTGCGACATTGGCCGTTGCCCAATAATTATTATTGATCCTCGCAAACATGCGAATGAAGTACGCTTGAGCGAGTTGCTCCTCGCGTGTCTGCTGAGTGCAAGTCTGGTGTCAGTAGCAGCGTTAAAGGTATAAGTTCCTTAACTAGTATCTGAGCCCTGTAGCCACCAGTGCAGTACGACGACAGTACCTAGCAAGCGTGCTACAGAAACACAAATCAAGATAGAATGTGATATGGAAGCAAATGTTGGTAGCTCAGGTTGTTCAATTGGTGGACTGAGTGTTCGTTGAGCTCGGCAGGTTGATTGCAAACGTTTCGTCACCACTCGAGGTGACATCGTCAGTGCGCGTGTAATTAGCAGAGTGGCGCGTGCGAAGTGTCCGCGATTCAACGTCGAGTAAACAACATCAGAAGCCAGCGTAACTTAGCACTGAATATGAAGTTGAATAAGCTTACGAGAAAGTCTGGCCACCCCAACAGTGAAGGATGGATCAAAAACTTGTCTAGTCGTCAACTCAGCACAACGGAGGAGAACATACTAATCAAAGGACTAAACTTTAACGCAAAACATGCATCATATAAGGATTACTTGGCTAATCTGGAACAGGTTTTGAACACAAACGGACTGTCAGAAGAATCGCGGCAGCAAATTAGACAAACAGTTGTCCCTGCGATAACTCGCAACAAATGCACACATACTCTTGCAAAAGAAGAACGCGAAGCACTCAGAAGGCTACAAAAGGAAGACAATATTGTAATCCTACCAGCTGACAAGGGACGCACGGCAGTAATAATGGACGAACCAGATTACGTTGCAAAAGCCAAACAACTCCTTCCCGACACGACCACTTATCGCCCCATAGATCAGGATCCCAGTACAAAACTGAGTACTCAAATCAACACAGCATTGAAGAAACTACAAGCAACGGGTGAGATTACCAAGCAGGAGCGATGGAAGATAAAAGCTGAGGATACAAATATTGCAAGATTCTATGGACTACCAAAGGTACACAAAGACGGAGTCCCATTGCGTCCAATCGTCTCGTTGCCAAGAACCCCATCGTACAAATTGGCAAAATGCATGTGGAAGAAATTAAAACATCTAATTGCCGGCTCTGAACAAAGCATCATCAATGCTGAACAATCCATCAACAAACTGAAGTGTGTTACAATAGAGGAAGATGAAATCATGTTGTCGTCTGATGTCACCGCACTCTTCACGTCGATCGATCACGAACTTGCAAAAGAAACCATGATGGAATTACTTCGCAACCAACTGAACACAATAGGAAACCTCAAGTCGGAGAGCATATGGGAACTCTTGGAACTCTGCATGACTACTTATTTTTACTTTGATGGGCAAGTATACCAACAACTGAAAGGAACGCCCATGGGATCGCCCATCTCAGGACTTATTGCAGAAGCTGTGATGCAAAAACTGGAGAGTATCACAATACCGTTAATCAAACCAAAATTATGGATCCGGTACGTGGACGACACGTTTGTCATCATCAAACGAGATTCCATACAGAATACCCATGAGTTAATCAACAAACACATTCCAGGATAGCAAGCTTACAAGTGAACTCGAAAAAGACAACCAGTTACCATTCTTAGATGTACTGGTCCAAAAAACACTGACGGAACATTTCAGACATGTGTATATCGACCAAATATTGAACTACCACAGCAACCACCCACTGAACCACAAGAAAAGCTGCATTCAAAGCCTTTTCAATAGGGTCGAAACACACTGCAGCACGACAGAACTGAGGAAGAAGGAAGAGAACCATCTATATCGGGTATTGCAAAACAACGGGTATCCAAGAAACTTCATCAGAAGAAACCTAAAGAAGAGGGTGTAGCAACAACAGCAGGAAAACATAGATAAACTGGTAGCGTTTCCTTACATCAAGAATGTATCTGAACTAACGTCAAGATTGCTAAGACCACATAGAATCTTGGTAGCCCACAAACCAACTGGTACTTTGCGAAGATTGCTTTCAAGACCGAAGGACAAAGTTAAACAAGGCAGTCAGAATGATGTCATCTACAAAATTAACTGCAAAGAGTGTGACAAACACTACATCGGACAAACTGGAAGGAAACTATCAACACGGATCAACGAACACAGAATGGCCATACGGAGACACGACCCGCATTCATTAGTTTCCATGCATGAAGACCAAGAAGGCCACCACTTCGATCTAGAGAACGTTAAGATCCTAGCCCGTGGAAATTCGAGGCAAGCTAGAGAATTCTTGGAGGCATGGTATTCTACCGACAGTTCAATAAACCGACATGTTGTAATAGATGCTATATATACGGCATTGCGAATGAAAGATCACCGAATTACTAGAAGAAATCTAACGGAAAGGAGCGCTAGACTACTGCATCAAACGACGACAAGCGAAGAGTCCCACGCGCGTACACTACGAGGTGAGAATCAGAGATCGATTTCTGTGGTCATGTGCTCGTCGAACAATCCAAACTCAGAGTAGCGGCTAGGAGATCGATCACTCACACTCACCGACGCCTCGTACGCGCCACACTGCTACATACACTCGCACTGACGATGTCACCTCGAGTGGTGACGAAACGTTTGCAGTCAACCTGCCGAGCTCAGCGAACACTCAGTCCACCAAGATAGAATGTGTAGAGATAGTGTTAGTCTTCAGCCAATCGGAGATAGAGTGGGAACGATAAAAGGCTTGGCGTGAAGCGTGACTCTAGGTTTGCAGAACATCGCTCAACGTCTATTATATGCTGAATCCTACCGAGTAATCTGAGAAGATGGAATTAGTGACGGGTCGAGAGCAGAGAGGAAACAACAGTGAGTTTTCGTAGTGAGACAATACTCTTCAACCGACTATTCGTAAAAGCATCCAATTCTAACCACTGAGTCAGTAGTTTGATCAGCGAGGCAGCAGGATGGGACACGAATAACCCAAAGTGACTGACTGCCTAACGGTTGTGTAAGAACCATTAAAAACCATTAAAGAACCAACAGAATGTTAAGCGAATTCCAACCCTGAAATGTTGCTGCTAGAAACTTACCAACTGCGGCGATGGAAAGCGCTGCGTCCAGGATACTGAGCAGCTGATCCGACGTTTCTGAGGATTCTGTCAATGCCTTGAGCAATGCCTGCCGAGCCGATGGTGTCCGAGTACGTACGCGGCAGATGGCGTTTACTATGCACTCGAATGGTGGAAGGTCGCCCCACCGAGCCACGAGACTGGCTTTTTCATGCTTTTTTGAATCCGAATTTGACACCCTTTTACCTTTCAGGGCCTTAGATCCCAACTTAATCAACTGAACCAGAGCGGGCTGGAAAAGACAATCAAGGCATGGATGAATGTTCGGAACAGAAGAGAAATAGGCCGTTTAATGACGTGTTACGCGGTGTCCACGATGGCAAAAATAAAATGCAACATCTAGCCATAAAAGCGCAGTAAGAAGATCAAGTTTATTAGGTTCATGCATTTTGCACCGCTTAGTCAGTAATGTAAACGATGAATTCGCTATTTTTTCAAGTTGGTTACAGATGAAATTAATCAGGAACGATGGAAAACACGGAAATTTCACCCGTTTTTGTACACAGGGTACCAGTTTACCGTGACAGACCCGGAAAAAGCAGAAATTACCGTGATGCAGTTGATCTCAGCCAGGTGACCTGAGGACAATGAGTACCTGTCGATGGAAGAGGCCGGCGAACTACGTGAACATGGCGTTCGAGTTATACTTGGTTGCTGCGTGGTTTATCACTGGAATGCTTTGGCACATGCTAAATGATTCGGGGATTCGTTGTCTTAACGATTCCGCCTACTCAGTAGAACATCCTCGCCTGAGTCGGCTAACTAAGGTCTTCACAAGAGACCGCTTGCACTAACTTGGTGTGAAGTTGGTGAGCCACGTTGTTTTTCTGCACATGAACGTTGTAACTTGTCCGATTCGATCTCGTTATTTAAGGTTCACCCTAGGAAACGGGAAATTGTCCACAATGTTCACAATCGTAGTCCGGGGTAATGAGTGTTGTGATAAGTAATTAGTCGTCATCATGGCTATGGAAACCTTACATCAAAAGAGTTATTTCGTTGAGGCAGAATTTTCAAGAAGGCGATTTGTGAAATTTCCGAAAGAATTAGAAGGGTTCTTTCAAATGATGAGATCAATTAAATGAAATCAAAATTAGCAACGAGCCACAACGCCTTAGCGCGATGAAACAGCGAGCACATCACCATTCTTAGAGTGTGAAGGATGGTGCTTTTCAGGCATCTTCAAAAGCGTAATAATCAAAGAATGAACGTTATATTCAAACCCAATGATATCCACACTGGAAGGTCGAGAAAAAGTCGATGGCAATCCCAAGCCTGTTACGAAAGACAGTCCTGTTGACATGAGTAGTGGATTGTGCCCAATGATTTAGAAATAGGTCCGTTGATAAGTTACTTGGTAGCACCAACATCCGTGATAACTCACTTGTAATTGATGCAATTCGTCTTTAATTTAATGCCGCCAGGAAGAGTAGTAAAACTCTGCAGGTACGTCTCAACTGCCGCGTTCAGGGTGATGAATTCAAGATAAAAACGTATGTTTTGAAGGGCAGTAAACATGAGGATCTTCCATGTCTGGGTCCAACTCATCTATAGATAGAGTTGGACAACATAAAGAGGCACGCTGCACTTATTTGCATATGCTCCTTATTGTAAAAGTGCAAAGTGCTACTACAGGACTGATTAGTTGCGCTGATTATTGATCGGAGTAGTTTATCGGTTCACACACATATTGACAGAGGTATCGCATCGGACCATCGGTTGACCAGAAGGAGTAATAAGTCCCTAGTCACGTCAAAGAAGTGAGGCGGAACCAAAGGCACGCATTATGAAGTTGCTCAGGAATCAACTGATTTGTCCAGTCGTTAACGGAGCAGTTCTCTGTTTAAGAAATCAAAGATGAGAAGAGATATATCTCTTCGCATAAAGCAAATAAGAATGTAAAAGCAACGCAGTTCAAATGCTCCAGTCGCCTATTCTCAGTCCGGCCTTCGCTGACTTATTCTGTTGCGTTACTTTTACATTCTTATAACTGTATTTGCCTGATGAGAAGTATTGAAGAGATCTTTTCGCAACGAGTTCTTATTTTGATTGTGTCGTATATAGGCATTATGTATGAGTTATCTGTTTGAGGAATAAATGCATCGTGGTTTAGCTGTAAGCTATCGGGCGCGTCCCCAGGTTGCGGATAGGGGAATGCCTTCCTTTTTGAGGTAACTGCGAATAAGTCTCGTTTGCCTTACAGGCGGACAATCAGCGGCAGCGTCCTAGAGCGTGGGGAGTTCTGGGCTGATCACCTGGTTCTCCATCAAATACCACAAGAACTCGTACGGCGCTATGTCAAAGCCAATGTGACCGGCTATAGGGTCACTGACCACTCATTTCTGTAACGGAGAGCGGATGAACAATCTTACTCGCCACCGGCTTCTCTGTGGACTGCTACTGAACAAAAAAAGGCGAAGGAGCCGCCCGGATGTCAAAGGTCTTCGTTAATCGCCCCGCTGGTTTGCGGGTTAGGTCTTAAGACCAAAGATTCGGGGTGGAGTCGCTTAAGTCAACCCTCGTCCTCGGCCTGGGCAACCGGGAAGATCTCTGCCCACAATCTACTAAACTTTCCAAATCCTTTCACTGACTACCCGCTTTTCCCTTTTTTGTTGTTGTTAACTATGTGTTGTGGCACTGCCAATTGTACATTGGTCAAATGTTGAATAATAATAATAATAATACAGTTTGATAAAACTACACTGTTTGTACAATCTAGGTCAGATAGTTGATGAGCCTATAAGTCTCCTATGTCTGAACGGTGTTTATTTACATTGTGCTCAGGTTAATATTCAAAATGAGAGGGTAATGAGAAATCTGATTAAAGAACTCAAGCGCAGTGGTATTTGTTGCATAAAAAAATCACGGTGATCAAAAGCATTGAAAAAAGTAGTGACTAAGGGGCTTTGAGTGTTTTGCATTCGTTTCCTTATTTTCTACCGCAGAATGTTTCGCAACAACGTTTAAGCTGTTTTTAACTCTCCTCGGTGGTTGTATTAGTTTATTCTGTTTGTTGTTTGAACGACCCTGAACGAACGTTCCAATCGCTCATCTGTGAACACGTTTTGCCGCCGTTCTCAGTTGCACTTTGTCACACGTGTGTTCACATTCATTCGACCCAGATTCATCTGCGCTATCTAGTGCACTCCATCTTTCGGATCCAGCTTGTGTGGATCGTCTTTTATCTCCACGTTGCGGTTTTTGCACTATTCCCGTAACAACACAATCGAGGAATTTTCCGAATCACGAACCACACAGAAATATTTGTGGTCCCAAACGAAAGCCAACTACACGTTTCATCTGACGAATCAGCAACCACAGCTGTGGACCATTCATCAAAGTAACTATCGTACACGTTGTGTCCGTATCGCTCAGTCGCTCTGTTTGCCGCGTGAACGATCTAGCCGCTTAAACCTGCCCCGCCTGGGCCAGACGCACAGAACGTGACGACCTTGAATATGCAGACAATTCAGCGCACACGCGACCGGCAGGAAACCATAAGCGCTCGGGCCTCTCTGGGATTACCATCGATCGACGCAATGGATCGTGGCGACCAATCAAAAGCCCATGTTACCGCATCCAGATCGACAGTAGTTTGTGGCCTTCCTTCATGCCATAAAAATGTACGGATCGGTATTCAATGTAGCAGTTGCCAAGGCAAGTTCCATCGCAAATGTTCCAAGCTCACAGTGAACCAGTTGAAGCTACACAATAGTAAACCAGATTCACTGTGGTTCTGTTCAGTATGTATAGTCATCCCACTGGTAAAGATTGTACATGAACTATCTCAGAAGTACGAAATACTAGTTGCAATGTTTGAACAAATGAGGAGCACCAAAAGCGATTCATTTGTAGAAAGCGTGACAGAGTAAATCCCGGTCATTCCCATCCAGCACCGCATTAAAACTGAGGAAGAAGGCTAGGCAGCGCGCTAAAAATGCATCATCTGTGGCATTAAACGCCAATACTACCAGTTGCTCAAATATGCCTGAAACAACCACCGCCAGTCCGATTGCAATGAGCACGGTCAGAGCCTCGTCCACCCTCCAAACGGTTCCGAAAATTCAGAAGGGCTTCGACACCAGTGGTGTTTGGAACTTGGTTGCTGCCAAAGGTGACCGGAAACATAGATCTTCGGCCACTCCCATTGGACCCATAATAAATCAAGAAGACGAAGCTATACTCAAACAGCCTCTATCGACTGCATACAGACCAGCTGGTCGCTTGATCACAACCAGAGTTGCACGTAGTATACCAGCGGTAATCTGCACCAAGATTCCAGAATCGACGTCAAATTCCTTAAAAGGAAAACAACTTGATGACGTGAACCAGTGGAACTCCATATGTGTAACATTATAGGTGTTGTAACTAAGCCCGTAAATTTGACACGCGTTACCCGTCACCCAAACTCACAGCACTACGGTGAACCAAGACTTTTCCGAGTTGTGCTGACTTCTGCCAATGAAGCAGAAGCTGTCCTGTTATCAACAGCTCGCCTCCGGAATGGGTCATGTTTCATCCGCCTATTCCCGGATATTCCGTGGAGCGAGCGCAGACAGGCGAAGCACTACTTGGACGAAAACCGGAAGGAATCCGTAGCCAGGACCATCCTTGTACACGGTGTTCCCGAGGCTGGAAATCATGATGAGCGCGAGGCGGCCACTCACGACCAGGAGCATGGGCGGTACATTCGCGAGACCCTCTCCCTGGAAAACGTCATAGCGAAATCAATCTCGAGGCTGCGCCGATCGCCAAACTACAAGAGATGTGGCCCGAGGATTGTGAAAGTGGTCCTCCAATCTAGACAAACGTCAGCAATGGTAGTGGAGGGATGGTATGCGGGCCGCAACAGCCCTCCTTCCGAGCTCCGGATCAAAGCAAGATCTGCTAAGCAAACACACGAGAGCAGCCACTTAGTCAGACCACTTATCGACAAGAGTTGGGATAACTTCAATCAACTAGCCAACGAAACTGGCAAACACCCCATACATTATATACAAAGAGAGAAGCAGAAGTAATGGTAGGATCCATGAATCGGACACAGATGAGTTCGTCATCCCCCAGCCAAAAAATAATTAGTTGCCGACCTTTTACAGGTCGGCACAACATTTTATCCAAAACACCCATCCCACGATTCATTGCTAACAGAGAAACTTTCCTGCATGTACATCAATGCACCAGGTCTCCTGAACAAGCTTGCCGAACTGCGACTACGTCAAGCGTCACATGCCT